TTAAGAAAGGTAGGGGTAGACCTAAAAAGACTTGGTTAGAAAATATTAGGAATGACCTTTCTTTATTAGATTTAAACGAGAATTTGACTTTTAATAGGACACAATGGAGAAAAAGGATTAATATAGCCGACCCCACGTAGTGGGATAAAGGCTTGATGTTGTTGTTGTTGTTGCTCTTTCCCTTTCCAATAATTTTGATCGTATTTCATTGTAGTCGTATTTCATTGTAGCCAGATGGAACATCACCTGCAAGGTTGTTATTACATGCAAAAGTGAAAGCATTTTTATAATAACGATTTCTTGCAAGGTTGAAAGGAAATCCCGCTGAAAGAAACATCCTTACAATTTCACCATTCAATTCCTCTCACTGCTACATGCTAAAAGCCTTCTCAAAGAACAATTGGCAATTCATTTTTTTTCTTTGATTCATATCATTCATTTCTAAATGATAATGAATGATCAACTTTAACAGATGAGAAAGAAGCTCGGGTTGAACCATGGGTAGATGGCAAATGTATCTTTTTAGAAAGTGCCATTTTGATCCTAAATTCAACTACATCAACTTGTCTGTGCATTTCAATCAACTCCGCCATAGTAATCTTAGGACACATTTTAATTCTATGGCCAACAATCTTAAGTAGATGTGCTTTCACCCTAAAATATGATCCATTGTAGGTGCCACCATAATAATTGCATTTCAATGACACATTCCCTCCTCCTTCAAAAGTTTTTCCTAACTTAGTAACATTAATCCATAATGGCTTATCAGTTTCTACAGATGGCTCTTTTGAACCTTCGCCTAATCCACTCCCATCAGCACTAAAGCTCATTTTACTTTTAAAAGCACTAGTTAAATGGAAGAAATAAAGGCTTAATAAAATCAAGATCAGTTGTGACTCTTAACTTTTGTAAATAACAACTAAACAACTTAGAAAACGATAGAAAATATAGGCAACATAAATTGTAGTGAAACTATTACATTTGTAACTTAAAACTTTTAAATGTCAACATGCATTGTAGTGAAATTTCACCATTCAATTCCTCTCACTGCATGCTAAAAGCCTTCTCAAAGAACTATTGGCAATTCATTTTTTTTCTTTAATTCATATCATTCATTTCTAAATGATAATGAATGATCAACTCTAATAGATGAGAAAGAAGTGCGGGTTGAACCATGGGTAGATGGAAAATGTATCTCTTTAGAAAGTGCCATTTTGATCCTAGATTCAACTTCATCATCTTGTCTGTGCATTTCAATCAACTCCGCCGTAGTAATCTTAAGACACATTTTAAAATATGGCCAACAATCTTAAGTAGATGTGTTTTCACCCTAGAATATGATCAATTGTAGGTGCCACCATTAATAATTGCATTTCAATGACACATTCTCTCCTCCTTCAAAAGTTTTTCCTAACTTGGTAACATGAATCCATAATGGCTTATCAGTTTCTACAGATGGCTCTTTTGAACCTTCGCCTAATCCACACCCATCAACACTAAAGCTCAGTTTACGTTTAAATGCACTAGTTAAATGGAAGAAATAAAGGCTTAATAAAATTAAGATCAGTTGTGACTCTTAACTTTTGTAAATAACAACTAAACAACTTAGAAAACAATAGAAAATATAGGCAACATAAATTGTAGTGAAACTATTACATTTGTAACTTAAAACTTTTAAATGTCAACATGCATTGTAGTGAAATTTCAACATTCAATTCCTCTCACTGCTACATGCTAAAAGCCTTCTCAAAGAACTATTGGCAATTCATTTTTTTTTCTTTGATTCATATCGTTCATTTCTAAATGATAATGAATGATCAACTCTAACAGATGAGAAAGAAGTGCGGGTTGAACCATGGGTAGATGACAAATGTATCTCTTTAGAAAGTGCCCTTTAGATCCTAGATTCAACTTCATCAACTTGTCTGTGCATTTCAATCAACTCCGCCGTAGTAATCATAGGGCACATTTTAATTCTATGGCCAACAATTTTAAGAAGATGTGCTTTCACCCTAGAATATGATCCATTGTAGGTGCCATCATAATAATTGCATTTCAATGAAACATTCCCTCCTCCTTCAAAAGTTTTTCCTAACTTGGTAACATGAATCCATAATGACTTATCAGTTTCTACAGATGGCTTTTTTGAACCTTCGCCTAATCCACTCCCATCAGCACTAAAGCTCATTTTACTTTTAAATGCACTAGTTAAATGGAAGAAATAAAGGCTTAATAAAATCAAGATCAGTTGCGACTCTTAACTTTTGTAAAAAACAACTAAACAACTTAGAAAACTATAGAAAATATAGGCAACATAAATTGTAGTGAAACTATTACATTTGTAACTTAAAACTTTTAAATGTCAACATGCATTGTAGTGAAATAATTACATTTGTAGAGGCTTGAATTTTGATTTCTTTTTTCTTCACAATAGGAGAAAGAAAATATAAGCAATTGTTGTAAACTAAGATAGCTTAAAGCAACCATCTACTCTCTTCAATAACCTATTATGATAGTAATTTTTAGATAGCTTTTTTTATCGTATTCTACTGTTAGATGGAACATTTCAATCTTTATGCCTAATGAATCCAAAGTCTTCAATTACGATATGAAAAGATAATACCAATGTACGGAAATGGGAAAATTACCAATTTTGCAACAATCTAAACATAATACATTAAAAAAAAATTACTAACAACAATAGAAAAAACAACACCATCAGTACTCCATTTCAATCATCACAAAGAAGTCTAGGGCATAACTATATATCTCCACCAAGAGATTCTAGTGTTCTACTCATCATATTAGTTCAAAATAAAATCAGGGCAACAAATGAATCTCCAGCAAACACCATTAGAGAGTAAAAATCATCAAAGAAAATTCCAACAAATGATTTAGGTATTTTTAAATCTTCTCATTATAATACTTTCAGAAAAAAAAAACAAAACAAAATTCTTTTAATACTCTTAACATCCAAAACCCAAAACAATCAAAATATTTTCAAGAAAAAATAAGAAAAACTTAAGACGAATACCTGCTAGCGGTGTGACGAAGAAGAAAGAACGAGGAAGCCTTGATTGCGGACGGAAATGACGAAGGAAGGAAGTCTACTCGCGGTGCGACGAAGAAGAAAGAATGGGGAAGCCTTGGTTGAACGCGAAAATGACGAAGGAAGTCTGCTCACAGAAACGTCGAAGGAAGAGACCTGCTCGCGCGGAAACAACGAAGGAAAAGAGACCGGTTGCCTCGGCTGCTTACCTCACTCGCCCTAAACGAAACGAATGCGATTGGGATTGAGAAAGTTAGGGCTTCGGGCGCTATACGACGATATATGTTAAGGGTTTTTTTTATTTATTAAATAATCAGACACGCGTGTTCGATTTATTTTTTTTTTTTAATATGACACACCTTAGACGTGTCTGACACGTGTCCACGGCGTGTCGGGCACGTGTCTGTGTCTATTAAGTGTCCGACATTGCATTCCTTCTTTAGGTGGAGTGTCGGTGCATCATAGATTTCCATCCATGTCTTTGATCAACCCATGTTTCTTTGTAATATGCACCCATTATTGTATCTGAATCCATAACTGAATCATTCCTTACACCAATATTTGTAGTTTTGGAAGGAAAAAAGAATTACTTTTGTATCATGATATGCAAGTCATTCATGAATGAAAATTTGGGACTTCATTAATCGACTATCAAATGATTGTGAAAATCTAATAAAATTTGAATCTTATCAGTATTTAATAATGCATTTGAAGTTGAAGCAAGATTGCATTTAAAGATAGGGGTGTCAAAACGGGTCGATGGGTCAGGCTCGGCTCCAACTCGAGTTGACACGGGTCTAAATGGGTTGACCCTAACCAGATCCAACCTGGAACCGACCCATGAGGGTTATTAGGTTGACCCGACCCAACCCGCACGGGTTAGAACATGCATTTCACGCGCATTCGCATGCTATAAGAGTTAGTTGAAGTGGCGTCTAGCGAATTGGCGAAGGCGAAGGCTCTAAGCCTCTAATGCGGTGAAGCCTCGACGACATAGATGAGACAGACGTCACGATCTGGCCAGCACGAAGGATGTAGACGCCTTGACGACATGGACGCGACGACGTCGACGGACGAGTGGATGACTACACAAGACGGGACAATCGGACAACGCTCCCAACCAGCGTGGACGACATTCCCTGATAGCGCTGACGGACAACAGCGTCAGCACGGGACAATGTTTGGCTCTCACGTGACGAGACGTCAGACGCTGTTGCACTCACGCGGTTTGACATGGACATAAAAAAGACTAGACGGTAGACGTGGTTCCCAGGTCAACCCGGGTTGGTTTCGGGTTTCCGAGTCAACCAAAACTCAATCCGGTTTTACAAATGGGTCGAAATTGTGAACCCAAACCTAACTCGTTTCTCAAACGGGTTGACCCTAACATAAAATTTTCGGGTTAGGTTCGAGCCGGGTTTTCGGGTTGTGTCAAATATTGATACCCCTATTTAAAGATATTTAAGATCATAGTAATTATAAAAAAAAAAGAGGATAGGAAAACACAATTTTTCTATCCACATGATAGCAAAGATTTTTCTATCCACAAAATAGGATCTCTTTCCTTGCCTCCCTGACTAAAGTCTTACAAGGTCATTTATATTATATTGTAAACTTTTTATTCTATTTTGTAATCTCGTTTTATTCTAAAGACACATCATCTAGGTTTATTACTTGTTAGAATGTTAGAAGTGACAAACATTATTATTATTTCATTTTAGAAATTAGATGCCTTATAATAATCATAAAAATAAAATCTTATTCTCACATTTATTTCAAGTGTCTAATTCTTTTTATAAATGAGAGCTGTTAGTAGTGAAAAAACTTGGCTAGAAAACAAACTTGAGATATCTGACTTGGAAGATCATCCGGCAGGAAGGACGTACAAAATAACTTATATTCTGATAAACGAAAGAAGTAACCAAGATTAATATGCACAACAGAAACTTACTTGAACGTTTTTCGACCTTGCAGCAGTTAACTCATCTGTCAGGTTAATCATCCTGTAAAGAGAAACGCTTAATGTATGAAGTACATTGATAAGAAATCATCATTGGTTAAAAAAAAAAAACTATTTGTGGTCAGCTTATATTAGAAAACTTTATGGGATTTGCTTTATGAATCCTTCTATGCCCTTTCAAATTAAGACCTTCATTAGCATTCAATTGTAGTTATTTAGAAACCTTTGAACACCTTCGGAATTCGAACATACGAAATCCTTTTTAATAACTAAACAGCATCTAAGCTTTAGCAAAAATCATGATTTTCCTCCCAACTCCATTCACTGTAATTCTATTATAACATCATGCCAAGGCCCCTTAAGAAATTAACACATAAACTTCATTATTTTTAGAGTTTTCTAATACAATTAAAATTATGCAATATATGTAATGGGAGATTCATACATAGCAAATGAACTGTTAATACTTAGCCAAGGGATGCTTACTTTGCTTTGCTTGATTTCATTTAATAGAACCTTAATATTTAGTATTAATGTTATTATTTAACTGATAGTAATTAAGAGTTAATACTAATTTAATAGTAAATTAACCTTAAACTTTAAAATAAGTTTTAAGATATATTTAATTAATTTCAATTTTTCATACATGAAAATTTTGGGTCTTACATATTAATCAGTTATAAATAAGAATTTTTAGAGATACTTCCTTTTTTAGATCTCCCTATATCATATAACTCATAATTGATATTAAGTCTTCATTTAGAGGTTATAGGTGTAAATATTTTAGTAATTAAAAACTAAAAGGAATATTAATATATAATAAAAATGATTTAATTAATATAATTAGTATTGATACATTTTTTTAAAATTATAATTAGTAATATTAAATTATATTACTTTAAAACTATGGGAGAAAATTATGGAAGCATAGGTTGCGGCGTGATACTAATATTTCTCAAAATCAATTTGGATTCATGTCGGTTATGTCGACTATGGAAGCTATACATTTATTGAGAGGTTTGATGGAGAAGTATAGAGAGAATAAGGAGGATCTACATATGATATTTATTGATTTATAGAAAGTATATGAAGTTCCAAGAGAAGTGCTATGGAGAGTTCTAGAAAAGAAAATGGTTAATAATGCTTATATTCAAGTCATTAAGGATATGCATGCAGGAGCTATTAATTGTGTTTAGACACAAGGTGGTTTGACCAAATATCTTCCAATTTTAGTTGGACTACATTAAGGATCAACCTTAAGCCCATATCTTTTTGCTTTAGTCATGGATGTTCTCACTAGATATTTGCAAGAGGTTGTACCCTGGTGTATGATTTTTGCTGATGATATTCTTCTTGTTGATAAGACTAGAGAGGGAGTTGAAGATAAACTTGAATTATGGAGGTCAACCTTAGAGTCCTAAGGCTTTCGTTTGAGTAGAACTAAAACTGAATATATGAAGTGTAATTTTGGTAATAATAGTTCTAGTGGGGGGATTGTGACTTTGAGTGATCAAGCATTAATAAGAGTACACATTTTAAATATCTTGGGTCTATTGTTCAAAGTGATGGTGAAATACACGAGGAATGCATCAAACTTGTTGTGTGATAGAAAAATCACCTCAAACTATAAGATAAAATTCTATAAGATGGTGGTTAGACTTGCAATGTTTTATGGTGCAGAATGTTGGCCATTAAAAGAGAATTGTAATATTAAATTAAGTGTTGCAGAGATGAGGATGCTTAGGTGGATGAGTGGCTTTACTTTTAGAGACATGATACAAAATGAGCATATACGTGAAAAGGTTGGAGTAGCTCCAGTGAAAGATAAGATTAGAGAGAGTCGCCTTAGATGGTTTGGTCATATAAAACGATAGCCTTTGATGACCCGGTTAGGAAAGTAGATGTATTAGATTTGACTTATGTTAAAAAAGGTAGAGGTAGACCTAAAAAGACTTGGTTAGAAAATATTAGAAATGACCTTTCTTTATTAAATTTAAATAATAATTTAACTTCTAACAAGGTACAATGGAGAAAAAAGATTCATGTAGCTGACCCCACATAGTGGGATAAAGACATGATATTGTTGTTATGTTGTATTATTAAATTATATAAATTAGATACAAATACATTAATCTTTTAATTAATATAAATTAATTATAAATATTAATAAATAATTTATTATTATTAAAATCTTATTTGATCAACAGTCATAAATCCTGAAGTAAATAATCAAATAGTTCATTAAGATTCAATCAGATTTTATCTTTTTCATGTTCATTAAGACATAATCGGATTGTATCTTTTTTGTGCCAAATAACTTTCAAGATTTAATTGCCTCAGAATTTACTAAATGTAGATTTACATGATTCATTAAATCCTACTTGAGTTACATCTGACTTGCAGCCAAACAATCCCTATAAGTAACCAAACAATGTTTAGGATTTAGCTGCCTCAAAATTTACTGAATCCAGATTTATAGGATTTATTAAATCCTGCTTGAGTTGCTTCCTATTTGCAGCCCAACAACCCATTTAAGTAACCAAAAAGTTAATTAAAATTTAACTGAATTTTATGTTTTTCATGTTCATTAAGATTTAACCAAAATTTTTATTTTTCATGCCAAATAGTTTTCAGGATTTAACTACATCAGAATTTACTAAATCAGGATTTATTAAACCCTACTTGAGTTACATCCTACTTGCACCCAAATAGCCCCTGTAAGTTTGTAACTTTTTCATTTTTCAAACCCAGAGTTCTCCTTTAATTTCCTTCCTATTGTAGCCTACAATTTGCGATGAAAGTTTTCAAATCTAAATGACTAAAAGCATAACATCACTAATCTTGAATAGATGATGGTTGAAATGTCAAGACTGCCACTGCGAAAGTTTATTGCAGACTGATGACACATGATCTAAGATCATCGGAGATAGAGAAGGTACTGGAAAGAGGAATGCTTGATTGGCCCCCTTGAAAGTTTTTGAAAGACAAGAATATAGGATTGATTTGACCAGTGGAAAATTTTTATTAGTAAAGGGCGCGCGTGTATATATAATTCGAAGGGACTTCAAGATTGATCATTCCTCGAGAAAATATGCTAATAGTCAAACTGGTAAGAGTCTTCCTGTTGAAGACTTCCTTTTGTTATAAGGTTAACTTGACCGAAGAAAAGCAGTCAATTATCAATTAAGACACCCATCTTTTGTTAAGAGATTGTGAACCGGGTTGGAGGAACATATAAAGGCTTTTGTTTTTTAGATTTCTTCTGCTTCAACATTCTGTCGTCAGATCTTCCAAGCTTTGTCAGCAGATTACATTCGTGTACCTCTCCAATCGACTTCAAGGACCTTTGTCGTCAGCTTCTTTCATATAAACTATTGCTTATCATATATGACATCAGCCTAAGCCTCTATTCACCCAAAAATGACATACCTGGCCTGAAGCTCCGAAAATTTAACAAGCAGGAGACGTTCTCTTTCAGTAATTTCTGCTTTGACCTGTTTAAAGAAAAAACTCAAACTCCATCAGTACTAATTAGCTCAATTATTGCATAACAAGTCATTTGTAGCTGCAGGAATCTAAATTCCTTGTACATCATTAGATAGTCGCATCCAAGAAAAAGAAAGATATGTCTTGCACAAGGTGAACACTAATGTGCAGATATGTGCATAGAAGAGTCCTTTGCCTTTACAGCAATAACAATGTGCAGTGCAGCTAATACCATGGTCATGAGAAAATAATGCAACATAAATATAGAATCAGATAAGTTATAGTTCAAGACAAATATATTGTCACTATCTGTTAGACCGGCCCAGGATGGGCCGGTTGGACCGGTCCAACAGGGACCGGTCCGCGTCTAAGCGAGACGCGGCTTGGGCGGAAACGACAGAGCCGTGAATCCACGTAGGCTTGAGAGGGGGAGTTTAGGAGGGAAATTTTGAACGTGAAAGGCTGTTTTAGAAAGTTTATGATTGTCCTTTATGATTAATTTTGTATAATTAGAGAGTTAAGGGAGAATTAGGGATTATCTTGAATTTGAATTCTCTTTTGAGATCTAGGGTTTGTGTGCTTGGGCTCTTGGCTTCGCCGGAGAACTTTGGAGAGTTGTTCTTCCTCTCGAATTGAAGAACAAACTGTATCTTTGCTATTTTCATTGTCTACTAGTAAAATACAAGTGTTTTCTCCTCATCTCCTGCAGTTTTCCTCTCTTTTTCTACTGTTTTTGGCTGATTTCCTGCTGTGGACAGCAGTTCGCTTTGAGATTTGTTGCTAAAGTGATTAGGGAATACTTGAAATCAAGTATTTCCTAACAAATTGCTAAAGTGTTTAGGGATTACTTGAAATCAAGTATTTCCTAACAAATTG